TCAGTTGAGGATTGTTGCCAACAGCATAAGAAGAGAACTGGAAGGGAAGATGGTGGGCTGTTGAATCTCCTGGAGAAGCTTGTTATGCTGGCTTTCCTGAAACAAACTCAGCTCTTATCATCAAGGGAGCCTGGATCCTTGCTGTCGCAGAGGATGGCTACGGTTCTCCTTGGGGGAGCTCTGGTCCTTACCTTGAGCATCATTTCAAGGCTTCAGTGCAGACCCCTCAGCCTACTGGCACAGATCCTTCATCCCACTGGTGCAGACTTTCTAGCTTCCACAACTGACCTTTGGGCTTTTCCAGTGCAGATCTTTGATACAGACATACGTGAAACATTGTCATGGGCTCTAGGCCTCCAGTTGGACTTAAGGAGGACATTGCTATGGGCTCTTGGTCTTCATCTGGACTCAAGCAGGATATTGCCATGGGGTCCAGGACCTCAGCTGAATTCTTTAGGTCTCTAGTGTGTGGACAAATGTCCCACACTCTTCTGCATTTGACTCTTTCAGTATGATAAAATAATCTTATAAGTTACGTGTCCTGTATTAAATCTATTCCCTTGTAAACACGGACTACAACATATGTATTGTGGATCTCTGCCAGAAGAAAATAAAGCCAGGAGAAGTAAAGTACGGACAGAGTGGTAGGGAGTAGGCAGTAAGAAAATGAAATGATAGGTTGCTCTGATTGTATAATAACATGAAAATGTCTAATACTTAAGAGTAGGAACCAATCTAGTTCAAGGAACAGCCTTGGAGTAGGTACCTAAATTGGACTACGTAAATGATTTAGAGCCAAGGAATACCATGACAGGTGAGATGACTGAAGTGTATGTGTAGATACCAAGATCACTCAGAGGAACTGAAGGTAGAAAAGAGTGCAAGAATATAACAAACTTTTATAAATTCCCACTTTGTATCAAGTATGAATTGATAGATCCTATATGAACTAAAGGAGTATACACTGTTTAGGATAAAATCAGTAAATGAAAATATCTCATTTAGTATATCATAGAGAGTAATTGACATGAAGTACTCAACAATAGTGAGCACACAAAGGTGAAAGTATAGTAAATAACTTGGCAATTTCAGAGATAATGTTGCTATAGAAGCAATGAGTGACATAGTTACTGGTGGGGTTATTAGGATTCAATGAAGAGGAGTTAAGGGCACAAGCAGAAATGCAAGTCCTACAAGATGCAAGGATAAATGCAAGTGCTATTAAAAGTGTACAAGAGGACAATAATATCCCCTTCCAACACCTATAGCTGTTCTAAACCAGGCTTTCTTCACCTAAACAATTCAGCACCCCAGCACCATACCTTTTGGCCCTAAATATTACTTTCAATATATCAGGTATACAAGAAAAAAAAATTCTTCCATTTTTTCAGTTCCTTTGCCATTGAAATAATAAGCTCCAACTCATATCACAGAGAAATGAGTGTTGCAAAGACCATTAATTTTACCTACCCCTCACTCCCTGTCCAACAATATTTTCCACCATTTGTCTATCATGTATTTTTACAATAGGTCATTTGCTTCTTTTCTTTCTGATTCATAAACTTTTATAATCATCTTCACATTTCTCCATGTGACCTCAATGTCTGTAATAGTTCTCTCAAATTTCCCTCCTGCATCAGGCAATATTCCATAGAGGAACAGAATATATATCTATACATATGAATTTATAACACCTGCAGAGTTAGATGTAGAAGAATGCGAAAGTGTCATCTGGCTGTTGCATATCTGAAAGTCCCAGTTAAAACTGAAAGGCCTGGAGCTCACCTCAAAGTCCTATGTGAGTCCATATCAGGAAGCCTAGAGTGCTGTGCTGAAAGGCTGAAGAGTCTGCCCTGGAAGCCTAGAGATGGCCATCAAAAGGCAACGGCTGGAAGACTAAAGCTCCTATGAAGAAACAGTGTGTCTTTTATTCCAACCAGGCTATAAGCCTACTGGCTGGTGCCACCCACACCCAGGGTATATCTTCCCTTCCAGTAAGTCTACCATCCATACCCATATCAACCTGGCATTTCTCATCCGAGTTGATACCCTACCTCCCAAATGAGGCCATTCTTCATAGTCTGGTGGTAAGTTCCATTTTTCCCACGGAGCCCTTCCTTGACTGCTGCTGAAACACTTTCCTGCATTAGTTAGAGTCCTCAGAATTGTCCTGTCTCCTGGTGTATTCTCATGGTTGCTATATGCTAAACTTATGTTCTCCAAGAAAGCCCCTAAGGGCAGAGATCTTGTTTCATAACCTTAGTTTCCCCAAATAGAGTGTAGAGCACATAGTAGATATTTCAGAGGCCAACTAGTAAGGTAGAAAGTACCTGAGTCAAGAGATCTCATTTTTTAATTCAAGCTTTTGCACCTTGGGCTGAATCTCTTTATGAACTGAAGAACCTGGATTCATGATCACTCAGACCTCTTTCAACTCCTGCTATCTGATATGAAGATACTAAGTATTTTACTTACTTGTCCAGAAGCAGTGGTAGTGGATCTCATACACATCATAATGCTTTGATTTTAAGATTCTATACTATTTATCATATGCATCATATTTAACAGGATAAAACTATTTAGCATTGTGTTACGTACATGGACTTACTCCCCATAATAAATGCAATCATTATATAGTATGAACATGTACTAATAAAAATTTAAAAATTAGAAAATATACACTTTAACATCAAGCTTAATGTTGGATCCTTACAATGTAGATATTTAATAAATATTTATTAAATTCATTCATTCACTAAGCAAATATTTATTAAGCATGAATTATATGTCAGGCACTGTTCTAGGTTTATAGGACTAGTCATATATAAGACATGTGAGATCTTTACTCTCTTGGAGTTTATGACATAGGGAAATAGACATTGAATATATGTATTATATAATATCAGGAGTCAAAAGTGCTATGATGAAAACTAAAGCACAGAGCTGTAGTTTGGATATAGTGTGTCCCCCAAATGTAGATCTGTTGGAAGCTTTATGTTCACTGTGGCAGAATTGAGATAGTGGAAACTTTAAGAAGTAGAGGGCTGGAGATGTAGCTCAGTGGCACAAATGTCTGGCTGGCAAGTGCAAGGTCCTGAGTTCAATTGCCTGTACCAAAAAAAAAAAGAAAAAAAGAAGTAGGGCCTAGTGGAAGGTAATTAGGTCATGTGGGCTTCATCTTAATAAGTGGATTAATGCTGTCTCTCAAAAGTAGGTCAGGTATTGTGGGACTAGATTAGCTCCTGTGAGTATAGCTTATACGTGAGTCTCATACTTGTCCTTTATTGCTGTTCTGGATGTGCTCCCACCATCATGATACCATTGCCTTGAGGCCCTCACCAGAGCCAGGCATATGCTGGCATCATGTTCTTGAAGCTCCAAAATTGCTAAATATATCTCTTTATAAAGTACCTAGCCTTAGCCAGGTGTGGTGACACATACCTGTAACCATAGCTACTCCGGAGGCTGAGACATGAGAATTTTGAGTTTGAGGCCATCCTAAAATACCAAAAACCACATCTCAAAAAAGAAAAATAAATAAGCAAATAAATACAAAGTACTCAGCTTTTGGTATTTTGTAATTGCCACACAAAACAGACTAAGACACATGGAAAAGGAACCCAGAGTCATGGGGATGGTTCTAGATGAGGTAGTCATCTTAATTTTAACTTCATATGTAAAGATATGGACATCTGTACAGACCCAAACATGGACAAATGGAGCTCTAAACACAGACGCAGATACAGAGATACAGGTAAAACTAAACATAAACTTTGTAGATGTAGCAATACTAAGCTAAAGTGGTCATACTCCCTGCTTTATCTTACCTACCTAACAATAGTTTGAAACAGGTATCACCACATTTTATGAATGGAAAAAAAATTAGATTTAGACCCTTTGGTTAACTTGTTAAAGTCACTTAGCTATCATGTCAGTACTTGAAAACTACAAGTACTACACTAACGTGTTCGTATAACAATAAAGATATTGTTTATACAATGATATATTTATATAAACAAAGATATTATATTGATTTTCTTGCACAAAATATTCTAAATTAGAATAAGAAGATAAGGGCCAGGGATATACCTCAGCAGCACAAAACACTGTCCTGAGTTTGATTCCCAGAACCACAAAAAAAAAAAAAAAAAAAAAAAAAAAAAAAAAAAATAGAAAAAAAAGAAAGAAACTATTCTGATTGCCAAGAAAGAAATGCACTTTCATTTTAAATACATCATGAAATTCAGAGGTCTTTTGTGTATTTAAAAACTGTAATAGAATCTCACACAGCTCTAAGACCAACAAAATAACTGGGTATGATACTATTATCTGAAAAAGCGAATTTGTATATAAAAGTGGTTTGACTTTTTATATGTTTGCATATGCATAGGCTATCTCTAGAAGGATACAAAAATTGTTGGTAGTAGTGATTGCCAAGCACTGTTGGTATGAGTAAAGATGAGTAAGAAGAACTTTGGTTTCCACTGTACATCCCTTTCATAACTCATGAAACATTTTATGTATATATTTTAAATTTAAATAAATTTAATTTTTTAATTTAAAAAAATGGAATTATTAGGGCCAGTGGGATATCCAAAATTGTTCATAAAATCATCTTAGCCAAGAGATCTTTCTCTTAACAAAGTATACAAAATTTTTTGGAGAGAACTTCCATTAATGTGCAACACTGAAAATTGATATTATAATAAGCTTGGCCTTCTTCATGATTGTTGAATCGTGGTCCTCTATAAACAAATAAATGGACAACTGAACAATACTGTGGATCCAAAAATGGGCACACAAATGATCCGAACACTATAGTTAAAAGCAGTAATTCTTCAGCGTATGTGTAAAGAATGATCAGATCCCAAAGCCTTCTCGAATGTGTAACGTAATAAAAATTAGGATCTTTATTCAAATTCTTATTACATTTTTGCTTCAACATTTCAAATCTCCTCTGAAAACCTATGAAGTAACACATTAATGAGAGAGTGGTGGGAAATACATGAGGAAATATCAGAAATCTCTTTATATAAAGCTACAAGAATGCCTAATGTCACCATTATCCTGTTACTTAATGTATTTTAAATATAGAGCACGGTATATACTAGTCATTTGCCCCTAGAGTCATAAAATGTAAGTTTTTAGATATAATAAGTATGCCATCTAAAGAAGTTTTACCTAATTCAAATTCATGCTGCTGCATTGAAATAGGAGGTGGAGTCCAGTGTACAACCTTAGTATAACCCACTGGAAATCAGACCTGTTATTAGCCATCTTTGGTATCACCACTTGCTGTTCAGCATAATTGCAGCTGAGAAAGCATTTATCTGGCAATAAAAAGCTTTTTACATGTTATGTGTGTCAGACTTGTGTAGTTAGTCAGGACTGTAATTAACTCTTCTTTATAATAAGCTTCAGGGAAGGAGTAGGAGTACAGGTAATGAAATCATGACAGGTTGATGCTCTGTGTCATTTTCTAAGCCAGTTAGTTACTAGGATGAGGAAAGTGGCAGGTCAACACAAAATTGAAATACAGCATTATCTTTCATTTCTGAGAGCATCTGGAAATAAATAAATAACTGATTTGACATACACTGACACTGCATCCACGGAAATGTGAGCTTTTCATTCCTGAAGCTTTGTTCACAGTATTGAAGCTGCCATTGCATTTCTTCCTTTTCCTGATGCAGAAAGTAGATCATTGAGATGTCTGCCTGGAGTGAATAGAATGCACATTCAAAGCAGAAATATCCTCAGCATAAAACTAATTTAATTGGGCTGACATGAGACTCTTTGACTATACCATCATTAGCATTCTGTTGAAACCAAACAACTCAGATACTGGTGAATCCTTTGCTGTTTTCTATGAATTATTAAGTGGAGATTCTGGTGGCTAGTCCCTTTAATGGTGTTCATTTTATTTTCAGGGAGGATTTTATTCATATCTAATAACTGTTCACCAGGTTGGGAGATTTAAAAAACACTTAGAATTTGGGTCAAGAAAATCCAAGGGATTTATGTGAGTCATTAACAAATGATTAATGAGTAAAATAACCTTCATCTGGAATATTAAAAAAAAAAAGTAGAACAAAATTTCTGTTGGAATGATTTCAGAACAGAGAGGAAACATATTGGAAAACATCTTCTTTGACAAAACAGAGATGGAGACAGGGAATAACAAAAGTATAAAAAGCCGTTCTTCTGGAATTGGTACTCTAAAGGGTCCATAATTACAGACTGCATTAGTCATATATCTGGATGATATGTCTCAGACAAGAAAGCTTCTGTCTGAAAGAAATGCCTGAAACCATGTAAGATGTACAGGTGATCCTGTTGTCTCAACTATGGGTGTACAACTAAATCCCTTGGACCTAAGTTTCCTTTAAAGCCCTGAACAGATGTACATTAATGACTAAGAAATTATATTTTCCTGCCCATTTCAATGTAATGTTCAATGACCAGACGTCTTTATACAAAGAAGCCTTGTCTGAGGAGAAACAAAAGTATATGCAAAGAAGGACAACCAATTTTGGTCCCATCATTAGTCCTTTTGTGCTGCTCTATCATCACTGGCTGAATAGATGTTATTACATTTCTACCCCACATAGGATATGATGATGGAAAGAACATAAAAGGGATATTAATAACATCATTTTCTTCTATGTGCTGAAGAAAAAAAACATGCATTTGTTCAGAGCAGACATTAGCATACTCAGAAATATCAAGTGTATATGCCCCCAAATTGAGGGCAAGTAATAACATTTGCTAACTCCCCAGAATATGGGAAAGACCATATAGTTACAGGTAATTGGAATGCGAAGTAGTTTACATGGCCCAGGCTTAGACTGTGAAAGCTTTAGTATGTGTGATGACTTAGGAAACATGAAAACACTGAGAGTTTGGACTTTACCCTAACTCAAAGTAAGAGTTTAAAAGGTTGCACTTGTGCAAGAGTAAGATGATATATTCACATATTCAGAAAACAGAGCTAAGATCAATTGTGGTCATTATCAAGAGAACGAAAAGAAGGCCAGTTTGGAGGAAAAATCAATATAAAATATGGAATCTAGATTTTTTTTGCAGCTGTCATAAAATACTCTCTACTGGAGGTCATATACAAGGGAGAAAAAGTCCTGTGTAAGTACAAATTTTATCTAACTAAAAAGTCCCTTACATTTTAATTTTGTTACAAAAGCAAAAGTGCTTAAGCAAGAGTCACACAGTTATGTGGATACTGTTATGAAAACTAGTAGTAAGGTTTACAGCTTCCGAGCGGCTCTTGTGACCCCAGTCCACTGGACCTCTGACTCCGTGGGCTTAGTCTGCATTCTAATGTTCTCTGAGTCCTTGTTCAGCAGCTGCTCCTCCGCTGGCTCTGGCTTTCTGGTTCCCAATGGCAGGAGCAAGAGTGGCCTGTTGTATGGCATGTATTCCCAGGGGTTGTTCAAAGTTTCAATGATTCACACACATCCATGGGTGGGCAACTGCAGTCGGTGTATGGTGGGCCAATTGTGTCACTGTTTCTCTGTGTCATGATAGATCTCAATTGAGCGGCGGCGCGCAATAGCGCTCGCCGCAGCATGGTTCCCCATGCGCCGGGGGCCCACCCTCTGGGAGCCAGCAGGCAGGAAGCTAGCCAGCCGGAAGACTGGCGCTCCCCACCCGTGGCTCCCTGTGCGCCGGAAGCCCTCCTTCCGGGGAACGACGAGGTCGGGAGTGAGTCGCCGGTCCGAAGACCCCAAAAGGCCGGCGCTCCCCGCCCAAGGCTCCCCATGCGCTGGGGGCCCACCCTCCGGGAGCAATTTTATTTTTTTAAAGAACAAACTTTTGATTCATTAATTCTTTGTATCATTTTCATAGTCTCCATTGTGTTAATTTCTGCCCTGAGCTGTACAATTTCCTCCTTTCTTTGGACTTTGGGCTTGACTTGCTCTTCTTTTTCTAGAAGCTTGAGGTGCATCATAAGTTTGTTTATTTGTGCTCATTCTGATTTCCTGATGTAGGAATTCACCAGTATAAATTTCCCTCTGAGGACTGCTTTGATTGCATCCAACAGGTTCCAGTAAGCTGTATCTGCATTTTCATTTGATTATAAATATTACTTAATTTCTTCTGTAATTTCATCTGTGACTCATTGGTTGTTCAGGAGGATGTTATTTCATTTCCATGTGTTGTTTATGGAGATTTCATTATTTCTTTTGTCAGTAATTTCCAATTTCATTGTACTATGCTCCGATAGTATGCATGGGATAATTTTGATTGCTTTGCATTTACTTAAGCATGTTCTTAGGGCTAGTGTATGGTCTATTTTAGAGAATGTTCCAAGTGCAGCTGAGAAGAATGTGTATTCTGATGTTGCTGGGTGGAACACCCTATAAAGGTCTACTAAGTCTATTTGTTCACAAGTTTGGTTTAGTTCTATTATTTCTTTGCTGATTTTTTGTCTACTTGTTCTATCTCTTTGTGACAATGGTGTGATAAAGTCCCCTGTTATGATTGTGTTTTTCAATCAAAAAAAATTTGATTTTTCATGTCTGTTAAAATTATCTTATACAGTTGCAAGCTCCTGTATTTGGTGCATAGATATTTATGATTGTTATCGCTTCCTTTGAGGGTTTCCCTAACAAGTACGTAGTGATCTCCCCTATCTCTTTTGATCATTCTTGGTTTGAAGTTCACATTATCTGTAAACAGAGTAGCTACCCTCCCCCCTTTTTACTGGGTTGCTGTCTCATGGAGTATAGTTTTCCATCCTTTGACTTTCTGTCTATGAATATCCTTTTGAGTTAAATGCATTTCTTGTATACAGCATATTGTTAGATTTTTTTTTTTATTTTAAAGAGTAAAAGAAGGATAACATAGTAATATGGGGGCTTACCAAATTACAGACAAAGTGGTAGGAAATTATCAATGATTGTTATTTTACATATTGTTATCTACAAGATAGTTTTGCAGGAAAACAAATAGACAAATAATAGTGAGCCACAGACAAAAGTGGTAGGTTATTGTCAATGGTTGTTGTACTATGGTATCTTCAAAGTGGTTTCTAAAGAAAATAAATAGAGCAATACATGAGTGATCAATTGCATATTCATTGACTATTCTCAATGGTTGTTGTAGGAAACACATAGTAATAAACATAAATCCATTTACAAAATAGTATAGGAACAATGCAAACATTACAGAGTTATGGACAGATTAGTATGAAAATATCAATGGCTGCTGTAATACATGGTGGTATCTTCAAAGTGGTTTCCCAGGAAGACAGAGATATGCAAGAGAGATCTAACAAGTAGTTACAGACTAAGGGTTGTGAAAAATAGTGTATTACCTCCTCACCAGTGACTCCTTTCACTGAGGTGTGACGGCTGGAAGGAAGGCCAGGATTGAAAAGAAGGACCGAGAGACTTGCACCTGTGTCTAGCAACAGGCTGTTTTCTTTTTCCTCTATAGTCATGATTACCCGGGGCTCCTCCATGGTGATGACAGTCTGGCTAGAGGGAGAAGGCAGAGTATGCCCCGGGCCCCCTCATTCCTGTTAGACTAACTGGGAGGATGGGTCTGAGCTCTGGGGCCTCCGCTTCAGAGGGCAGACCAATCTCCAGTGTTCACCTTTGCATTCAGGGCATGGCCCAGGGGGTTTCTTAAGGCAGTTCCTCTTGAGATGGCCTGGCTTTTAACAGTGGTAGCACATGAATGCAGTCGTCGAGTTCTTCTTGGGGCCCCGAGAATCAGACTTAGGGTCTGTTTCTCTTAGCGCTGCAGCAAAAGCAGCTGCTTTTTCTCAGTCTCTTTGTTTTCTCTCCTTGGCCTCCTCCCCGTCATGGTTATAGAATACTGAGGAGGCAATTCTTACTAACATCTCAAGTGAGTCATCTGGGATGAAAGCCATTTTTTGTAGCTTTTTCTCTCCATCCTCCCAGCACATTGGGACCCTGCAACCACTTAGTGTCCTCTGCCCAACCATCAGCACAGGCAGCAGGAATCTCAGTGCAGACCTCTCCAGAGCTCCACATGCTCCTCCACCACAGCCTGTACTGTCAGGGGAAGAATGGCTTCCAGGGGGTCTGCCCAGGTACTGCACAAAGTCCTCCTGGTTTCCAGCTTCTGAACTGCTCTTGTGACCCTGGCCTACTATACCTCTGAGTCTTTGGGCATAGTCTACATTCTCATGTTCTCCAAGTCCTTGTTCAGCAGCTGCTCCTCCGCTGACTCTGGCCCTTTCTGGTTCTCAACAGCAGGGGCAAGAGAGACCCATTGTGTGGCATGTATTCCCAGGGGTTTCTCCATGTTGGGATGATTCTCGCATGTCCACAGGCGGGCCTCCGCAGCTGGCGCATGGCAGGCCAATTGTGTCATTGCTTCTCTGTGCCATGATAGTTCTAGAGTGCACGGTGGTGGTTGTTGTGAGGGCCCACCTCCCAGGCACCTGCACAGCTAGGAGCCAGCCCAGATTTTGTTTCTTGATCCATTCTTCCAGTCTACTTCTTTTGACTAGTACATTGAGGCCATTTACATTAATGTTTACAACTGATATGTATTGGCTTATCTTTCTCATGTTATTTTCCTGCTGTTGGTTCCCTACCTTTCCTCTCTGTTTGATTGCTTGCACTGCTTGGTGGTTCCTTTCTATTGTTGTTTTTGAAATTGTGGTCATTTTTATCTCTTTCTAGACTACATTTCAGTACTCTTGTAGGATTAGTTTGGTGCTTAT